TAAGTGGGAGAACTTGCACAATTGGTGGCTGACTAAATACTTTTTTGCCCCACTGTATCCCAGAAGTAATAGGAGAATGAATAGGCCCGTGATGAAACATACAGGCAAGTTTGTAAAAAAAACTGGTGAGCATGAGGAGGGACTTTCTAATTAACCAATTGCACCTTATAGGGCAAAGTCCTTTATCTTAGCAAAACAATTGTTTCCATTTTATAAAAGGCAAAGTATAATAGATTTATCCCAAAATCTCCTGCCAGTACAACCTTATATATCCATATCTCCCGTAAACTGCCTACTTCAGTGAGATCCTTGTAAACAATATCCCATATATATTTGAGTTAGCTCTGCTCTTGAAAGTGAAAATGATATCCAGAACAGAAAAAAACTAGGATATAGTTAAGGAAGGAGAACTGCGCAAATAAAAAAAGCATTTGGTATCTGTAATAAACAGAGGGAGCAGGAGAAAAACAAGGAGAGCTAAAAACAGAAACTTCAATGTTGGGCTAGAAAGCTAGGATTATTCATGCATCAAAGTTACATTGATATCATGTTATATTCAAAAATATGGTAACATGAAAAGCAAAGTAGGCAAAGGAATACACACCCCACATGCTTTCAATGCATTCAATTTTTCTTGCTCTCTTTTGCTATGTAAAATCTGAAAAAATTACTATTAAAAGTATCTGGTGTTTTTAGCCTAGGAAAAAATAATTAACTCATACCGCAAATGGACCGGCAATATTTTTCAAAATATAGACTATGTAAAAATAGTAGTAAAAAAAACCACACATGGAAAGTATTGAGTAATTCCCCAAACACCCAGACTGTTAAAATCAAAGGGTAGTGTGATTCAATAATAAATTTGGAGTTGCTTCATGTGTTATAGGTCACCTATTACATGATAGGACACTTCAAAAAGAAGAAAAATAATCAGATCCATTGGAGGCAGATTAAGAATTCAGAATAAAATATCAGAGGGAGATGTCTGGGACATTTTACAATGTATGTGTGTGTGTGTGCCTTCAAGTCAGCTTTTGACTCCTGGTGACTGCCTGGACTAGTCCCTGCAGTTTTCTTGGTAAGGTTTTCCCTTGCCTCCTTTCTAGGGCTAAGAGTGACTGGCCCAAGGTCACCTAGCTGGCTTTGTGCCTAAGGCGGGACTAGAACTCATAGCCTCCCAGTTTCTAGCCTGATGCCTTAACCACTACATCAAACTGGCTCTCATTATTGTCTCTGTCTCTAATTAGACAGAAGGAAATTTGGGTTTGCCTTTATACATGCACCTAGCAAGAAACTTTTGCCAACTGCCATCTCCTGATAAGTGATTTCATTTACATAATATTTATGTTGGTTACATTCATATTTTAGGGCTTTAAAAAGTGCAGATCTAACAAACATAATGGCACTTAACCACCTGAAAGAAATATTAATCAGCTGACTGAGTCTGCAATACTAAGCACACCATCTAGACAGAGAGTACCACTGAACATAATTGGAGCTTACTTCTAAGATTTCACTTTACAGTAAACTATTTCTCAACCTTTCAAGTCTAAAATGTAGACTATTAGAGGCTTTTATAAAGAGTTCTACAATACAAAGCTGAGAATAGCAAACAATTATCAGGCAAAACCTTCTCAAGAATACAGATATATATTATAAAGTTTGAGTTATGTTGGTTGGCTACTATTGTATTCATATAATTCACAATTAAGTACCAGCCTTAAAATGAGAAAACATGAAACAATTAAATACTACTGCCAATAATAACAACTATTACTATTACTACCCAACAATGCAAAGATGAATGCTTCCATTTTTAAAGGTAAAGACAGTTCTTGTTTTGTCTAGAAAAGGATTCAAAGAACATTGATTTAAACCCCCAAACCAAGCAGTATTTAAGTGAAACAATAATTACTGAATTTCAATTTAGCATACCATCATGACTCATTTAAAATAGCTTTAATAAAAGTAATGTTTAGAGAACTTTAAAAAATCATGGCAATGTAAATCAATCTACAGGGAGTGACAGACTGCTTGCAGACTTCAAAGAAGTTCTTAAAAACAGATGTTCATTATTTTTGAAACTAACTGTGCAACTTTAGGGTAGCCAAAGTTCAGATGTCAGGCCAAATATAACCCATGGAGTTAAACCAAGCAAACAAAACTGTTCCTGTAGTTGGTAGCTTTTGTTCCATCTTTGTGGGAGACTGATCTGGGATGTAAGTCCAAATTTAGTTACAATGTGACACTACCAAATTTAAACTAAAACTTAAAATGGGCCAGTTGTATTCAAAAGGCAGCTATGTAGTGCAGGGACAAGTCTGAAAGGCATATGAACTGTAACTTCATAACAGTACAGAAATGGCACAACCATATAGAACTGTACACTAGTCCAGCTTCCTAAGGTGAATAACTTTTTAGTTTCTTATCTTTATGCTACAATATAGTGTCACAACTTCTGTCATACAAAGCCTCCTTCAAGAATGAACAGTTGGTGTAAATGCTTTCAAAGAAATGCACACTGAATTGTATGTTCATCACCCAAACATATTCCTACCTTCTCTCATATATGACACAACTTTTGATTTAAATTTGGTTTGCAGGTTGCCTGTTTTATTCAAATAATCCTGAATATAAATATTAGGTGCAAAGTTAATCATGTTTTGCTCCCCACAATCATAAAGCATGTTGGCCAGTGACTCCAAACCATTGACAGAGGGACTAAGCTTGTCACCTGAAAGATGAAATTTGCACGTCAGTGATAGAAGGGGCAACACCAACAACAAGTAAACATGTAAACAAAGACCAAAGGAAAACAATTAAAATGTTCTTGTTTTTAGACTCAAAATCAACGCAAGCATCACCATAAGAAAGTATTTGAAATCCCCAATCCAACTAGTCTCTTAATGTGTAGACTTCAGTTTTCAGAATATCCAACCTTGTTTCATAAGCTTGAAAGATTTCATCAGAATTGAATCTTATTATGATATATAAATGTGGCTTTGTCCTGTCATTCCATGTTCTGTGTCAGGAACTGGCAACGGAGATATCAACTGTGCCTGCCATCCCCTCAGATGGCAAAATAGAACCCCTGCCTTACTTAATAAACCCTAAAGGAAATTTATCTAAAAACAGTGAAGCTGGTGTATTAGGCCTTATTTCAAACAATTCCCCCACTAACGCAGTTAATGGGGTACTGAAACTCCAACCTCATCTTCTTCAATACAAGAAGCAAGATTTTCTGGCTTCTTTTTAAATGATGCATAAGTGCTTTAAACAATAATCAAACGGGATTTGGGTAAAGCTTCTCATCTGCCCAGATAAAGATTTTTGAAATATGGCTGCTTTAAATTACCTTCACTAATAATCTCTGGAGAAGAGCATCAGAAGCAATGTGTGATACTGCTATCATTCCAGTGGGAATTTCTCCAATCTGCTTTGGCTTAATTGGAAAGAAGATTGTCTTCCCATCTTCACTTGGTATCCAAACAGATTGTTGATTTCCAATGGCATTTATATCATTAGAGATAATAAGAATTTCAAAGATATCACTTGTGTCAAGAGTAACTGTAACTTACAAAACAGAAGTGGCTAGTTAATCATTTTTTGTGCTACTAGCAGCAACAGTTAACACAACAGCATTAAGTATTACAGAAAAAAACACAATAACGTGCCTGCTGGGGGCATGGGAAGGTTCCCACACTTGGAGGATTTTCTTTCTCTATCCTGATTCCTTCCCCCACAAAGGAAGATAATAAAATAAACAAGTGCCTGGATTTGCACTCTTTTTATTTTCCTCTTGTCAAGTTTTGTACAAACAGCTTCTATACTGTGTCTAGTGCAATAGCTGGCAAGATTGCACTATTGTCAAAATGATCAGCTGCAGTATTCCACAAGCTATCTAAATTAAACCTAATTTAATTAAAAACCTAAAAACCTAATCTTTTTCAGCCAGCCAGAATATAGAAAATATAGGCTGATGAGTATTGGCCTCTTAAGGACTTATAACCATGCTAAGAACCAGGAAATAGCTGAACGAAAAACTATTTCACCAATCAACTGAAAGCTGATATTTTAAAAAAAGTCTGTCTGTCTGTCTGCCTGCCTGCCTGCCTCCCTATCTACCTACCTACATACATAATACAGCACCTGCGAAGATGTATATTTTGCTGTGTGATTCACAGCCAGGCAAACACTACTGTATCTAGAACAATGACAGACCAGCATTAATCTTTCCCCAGGAGAAATCAACTGTAAGGACTCTTACTTTCTGAAACTTACACCACAGCTGAGGAGTCTCTCATATTGCTTATAACTTTGGCCAACTTTGTATGATCATATAACCAGGGACAAAGTCTTTATTCTTCAAAGTGCCTGTCACACTGTAGAATGCCTAGCTTTTTAAAAATTGGCCATCTCATATGTTTTTATAAAGTACAATCCCATCTTCCTCCCATCCCAAACATTGTCTGATTCTTTTTCTATGTATTTTTAAGTGTAAAAATCTATACAAACATTTGCTCCCAAAGAAGACATTTGAACCAGTGAACTAATCCACTCATCCCCTGTTAAGATTTGGTTTGGAGGGAAAATAGCACGTAAGAAGCAGCAAACACAGAGAGAGGGTAGGCGATCATAAGAAAACTATGACAGTGAAGAAATTCAGAGATAAGGGGGCAGTCTGAGGGAACTGAGATCACAATCAGAGCCCTAAGATCAGATTTTTAGAGATCAATGAAGTTTTTCTGCAGTGAGCTGGGTGAAGGTCTTGAGGAAACAACAGAGGGAAACCTCAAGTAACATAATAGGCATAATATGCCTGCACAATTATTTCCATGAGGAAGCAAAGTTACTCTAGAAGAAACCTGCATGAATCCAATATTCATCAGGTTTGTATAGCTAGAAAACAGGAAAGGTTAGAAAAAAATGGTTGGAGGCCTTAATGTGTTGAAAAACTCCACTGAAGGATAGATATAGAAAGACACCTGCATTTTAAATAAAGATTCCATTCTACTCTTTCTTTTCCTCTCTTTCAACATTATATGAAAATAAGCATACATAAATTTAATCCAACTTTGTGTTTTATTTCAAATAAAGTTATCCTTAGCTGAATATTCAATCTGCCTTTGATTATGTCATCTGCACTCCTATGTCCACTAAAGGATAACAACTAGTCACCTTTCCCAAGGAAAGATTATGGCAGGGAGTAATTAGATTTTAAAAGAAAAAAGGGAGGGCCTGCTGTATTCATTTCTTGATTTGTCTTTACTTACAATTGCCATAGTCCTCATGCTCTGAAAGGTTGGCATCAGTCAATATCCAGACTTTGCTATTCTGAATACAGTACATAAAAAGATTTTTCAGTTTAAGTTTATGCAACATATCAGTATATTTTATTATTGTTTAATATATTCTAGAGCACGTAGAAAAAACCTATACACATACATCTATTTACATGTGCATGTATGTATGTGAAAGAGAGAAAGACATTTTCATATTCCATCAGGAACCAAAACACATCGGGAAACATGAAAATTAACATCTACACATGAAACTGTACCTGGAAGATGCTGAAAGCATTTCCAGCTTCCCATAAGATGATTTTGTATCATATTAACTTATCTCATGGTATATGTATTTTTAAAAAGGAGAAATAAATCAAGGAACAGTTAACCAGTTCTTTTTTAAAAGTACATATTGTCAAGGAACAGTTAATCAGTGATGAAATAATAATAAAATATATTAGTATCTATGTTAGTGTGTACTAGATGAAATAAATCCGAACAATGATAATTACTGCATAATATTTTAATATGCCAATGCAGAAGGCACATGAAAGAATCTTCACAACAAAGTTAATTCATTATGACCTTTCTCTGAAGAGTGTTGCTTGATGGAAAACCCAGTAATTGAGTTGCTGCACAAGGGAGTAATTTACTAATAAAATTTTGGACTAGGGCAGTAAAGAATGCCACCAAAGATTGAACTATAATTGGCCATCAACTTTATCAATAATCAGCATACAGTCTCTTGGAAATGTCTAGACACATTTTATTTCTTTTTCATCACTGATTAAGACTCTGTGGATGATTTTTAAATGCATGTGAACTCATTACATTTGTTTTTATTTTTCATTATTTCTTTTGCTATGAATATTCTAGTTTAACAAAAATGTAGAATTACACATCCTTATACATTCTTTAATTGTGCATGTTTATCAGAAAATGAAATAAATAAATGCAAATATGTTTGATATAGAAAGCACCAAGAATTACTCTGATTATCAGAGAGTGAAGTTTATTGTAAATAACCTAGACCATTAACATTAATGCATAATATTAATTGTTCTGTGGTTTCAATGTCTTGTTTTGACATGTTAAGGAAACTAGTCACAATAAAATATAGCCCTTCTAAACTAATGCACCCTTGCCAAAAATAATAAAAAACTTACAGCATCCTCTGTGATATCATTTCTTTTTCCCAGCAAATTTGTACTTTTGTCAACAACTAAAAGTCCAATTGTGGTTTGGGGTTCTTTCACCTTGATTATGAGGGAGATATCCTCAGCAGGCCCAGCTTTATTTTTACTCCAATGCATATTAATACTATATATACTTTCTAAGAGAAAGATCTGTTGAACTCAGTGGTTCTACTTCTGAGTGGAAGATCATACATCTTTTTTTTTCCTGGTAAATTGAGCTATAAATTAAGGGGAAAGATTCGAGTTGAGGCCAGGGTGCTAGAGAAAGTATTATATTATTTATCTGTGTACTATTCTCCCTGAAACCTTTCCCTTAAATGTATTATTTTTCTTGTCAGCTTCTGAATATTTGCTCTTGTGGTGGATAAATAGTAGTTCAGAATGGTAACCTGGATTGTGAAAGGACTACTGAGGAATGGGAAGGATTAACAAAATAGGCCATTTCCAATTGCACGACTCCACATGAATCCCTCCTGCATTTACTATTTAAAAAACAAGAGGTTCTCCAATCATAGATTTTTTGATGCCATACCTACTATAGTTTGAACAAGACAGAGTCAGAGGCCATCTTGGAATATAGCATAAGATGAAACATAGGACAGGACATCTGAAGAAAGAGAACAGGTAACAAGGCAGCAGACAAGGAATGTTAGGGACTGGAGGTCACAAGTTGAAACTAGGAAAAGAAAAGGGGAAGGATGGACCAAAGACACGAGAAGGGAATTGGCTCCAGCAGTCAATTGTTCACTTGGTACTTTATGGCAACAAGCATCTTGCACTTCACTTTGGTTGCACTTAATGTAATTTTAAACAATAGTATTACAAGAATAAGCTCAGAGTAGCTTCAGGGTCTTGTGTATCTCTTTTCCTCTCCTGATAGAACCAGTTCAGAAGCCTCTATTTCTATTTTAGAGATAGAAGTATGGCAAGTAATTTATGTTACTTATGGCAAGTAAAAACAAGCCACTTTCTTAAAATATAGATTCAAGTTGGCTTGTTAGCATTACCTGTACTTAAGATTAACTACACCTTGTCTTGTTTCACATAGCAGAGCAAGCAGTAATTAATCAACAGTGGGTTCTTCAGTTTTTTGTTTTCCAATCCTCTATATGAAAGTTTTTTGGACACATGAAACATTTCATCGTTTCAGTTTTTTCCCTTGCCTTTTACTACGCTGTACCATAAGCAGATATTGATGGCCCAGAAACCCAAATAACAACTTCAAGAGAAACTTTTAAAATACAAAGTAACTAACTAATGAAGATTTTTGAAGTAATTCTAAAAATCCAAAGAAAAAGAAATAGTTAATAAAATTAGTAAGAAATCCCCTCCCACCCAGTGTAGAGGGGAACTGAACAGTGAGCCTCCAGTAGACCGAAAGGAATTAACAGTGAAGATGATTATATGATTTGAAATGAAACTGGAATGAACAGTCTACATATATGCATAGGAATAATAGTGATATGTCTACGAGTGAAGTTGAAACAAATGTTGTAAATGTTAATGCCCAAGAAAAGGGAAATCATAAATGCTGTGAGAATGTTGGAAAATGGAAAGCTTGCAAAAACAGTGCAACAGGAGAAATGTTAAAATATGGATGTAGTCTGCTTATATTATGGTTGTGTGAGTGTGCCTGATGACTGGAAGAATACTGTGAGAAAGGCAGCAACAGTGAATACAAAAACTACAGGGAGAGCCATTTGTGAAATAGGCCTAGGAAAGTGTTTGGCAGAATTCTGACTGAAAGGTGATAAGAGGTGACAGCAAGCAACATTTGAGAAGGGCAGTATGGCTTTATGCCAGGCAACGGAGGTACAGTCAGGATGTTTATCCTCCTGCTGTTTAATTATGGGTAAATAGATAAGGAATGCTTGTAGCAACATTGAAGGTGTGTTAATTGAAGTTGTAAATATCCAGGTATTTTTTGATGCAGACAATGCTGCGCTATTGGCTAAGGAGCTGCATGGCTTGCTGCAAAATGTTAATTAGACTGTATTACACCATAAAGAGAATCTATCTACAAATTAATGTATTAAAGACTAAGGTAATTGTGTTTGACAGGAAAAAGAATTAGATAACTGCAAGTTATACATAAATGGTATAAAACCAGAACAAGTAGATAAGTGTATTTTGCTAGAATATAAAGATGAGAAAGTGGATACATAAATTTCAAGTTGTGCAAATTCTGGTAGAAAGAAATTTGTGGTCTGCTATGAAGAATGAACGTTTTCCAAAGAAGTGAAAGTTGTTGTTCATGAAAGCATGCTTCTGTCTCTATAGACACAGAGTTGTGTACGGTAGGAGAAATAGAACTAATATGAATTCAGTGGGAATGGGCTGAGTAAGAAGTGTGTGTGTGTGTGTGTGGCAAAAAAAAGAGTCAATAATGAATGAACAGTGAAGGAATGTGAATTGAATACAACAATGATTGGCAGGAGAAAAGAAGTACATTGAGATGATCTGGTTATATACAAACAATGAATGAGGATCAAACCTCAGAACCAATAAATGAAGAAAGAAGGAGTGAGTCAAAAGGGAGGCAAAGACCAATAAAGTCGTAGTTGGATGGAGTTGCTGAGGTCCACAAAATGTCAGAAAAGTCTAGCCCAAAAGGAAACAATGTATGAAGCAATGCATGGACATGGTGGAAGCAAGGATGGTTTGCTAGGATAGAAAGTATGAAGGGCTCCAAGGAATGGTGGTGGTATAAACTAGATTTGGCTGTATTTCTTTCTCTTTTTTTAACCTTATGCCTTAATCAATCAACTAACTAACTGTACAGGGCTTGCAGGCCATTCCAATCCCAATGGACTTCAGTTTACCACTTTTTACTTATTTTTTGCAATCTGCAAAACATTGCTTATCCCAAAAGGGAATGGAGTGATTGGTATATGCCAGCATGTATATAGAAAGCATGTTTTAACTATGGAGAAGTGAAAATGTGTCTCTCAAAATGAAAAATTGCTCTTTACTGAGAGGCCTTTCTTTAAACCCATACAAAATGGAAATTTAAAGAGGCACAAGGAGCTTGGATAATGACTCAAACTGTGGTTGAAACCTTAAGCACGCCTACTTAAAAACAGGTTTTGAGGCATACAGGGGAGCTGAATTTGGTAAATCATTTCATCACATTTTAGGCCATATTTATGCAGAAATACTGAAAATTCAAATAGGTTCACAAACTATTAAGCACCACCGTATAGGTTACTCCTTCTGGGCTAGAAAAAAAATTGACAACAGTTGAACGGCTACAAAGATACAGGAAACACCATGTCTTTGCTGCCATCTAGTGGTTCTCTGGATATCATGGTCCTAACTATGAATGAGTAGATCTCAGTCCATTCAAACTACCAGCTTTAAAAAGGTTCTTCATGGTTTGGTAGAGGAGTATCTGAAGGGTTGTATCTTACCATCTCTCCTTATCAATGTTTTAAATTCACTGGTTAAAGGTCTTTTTGAATTTGCTGTAACTTACAAGCCTTTTCAGCCCTGGAATATGCCTTCTCCCAAGCGCCTATCTTCGTATACGTTTCATGACTAGCAGAGATATTTTTATTGCCTCAGATATTTTGGGCCATATTACTCTGTGGTTTAGCATTAATTTTTACTTTTTTTCCTTGTGGCTATATTTATTGTTTTTGTAGTAATTCTATAGGTCAACAGTGGGATAGAAATTGCAAGAATAGTACTAAAAAGATAATAATATTGCTATTATTTTATTATTTTGTTTGATTTTAAGGATATTTTATAGCCATATTTGCTACTTTATGTAACCTTAATTTTAATAAAATATAATTTTAATTTGTGTGATTTCACTTTCAACATTGTTATTGTTAGAAAGCAACAAATATAGTAAGATGTTATGAACTGCAACATGCACAATTTATATGTTAACACCTCCCTTTTCTTTCCTTTTTCCTTTTTGTTTTTCAAAATAAACATATAAGGTATAATTCCCGAAGGAAATGTAACTCTACAGATTGGAAACTCTAGCAAGGAGAGTACATCTATTTGTTCAGGCATTGATTTAATTATTTAATATGTCAGGAGTTTATGCTAGCTTTTCATAACAGGTTCTTCTTTAGAAGAAAAACTTTTTTTTAATAAAAGAATAACTTTCAATATTTTCCTAATCTAACCACCCACATCCTATGCTTTTCCACTGCTGCATCCCTGTAAGTCTATCTCTGCAGCACTGATATAACACTATGATCTATAACACAGCTGATTTGTAAAATTCCCCCTCTCAATTTATTATGAAAAGAAGGCTTGTACATTTACCAGATTTTTAAAGGTCAGTTGAACAGGAATATGTAGAACACTATTTATTATTTCCCCATTATCATGCACATAGAAGACAGTCTGAATAACCCCATTTTCTGGAACAGGATAACTTAGCTTACAAACTCTGTTATTTTTCTCTAATTCATTTTCATCATCATATATGTGATAAACAGTATTTGGCTGTTTGACTAATGTCACGATTATTCTTTTGTTCATCAGATGTTGGTGATTATCAGTTCTTCTTACTTTCAGCTGAAGATAAATCAAACTTTAGAAACAAAATTGTTTAAAACAACAATAACCTTTATATAGAAATGGCAATACTGCCTTTGGCAGCAGAGAACAAGAATACCTGGTGACTTCAACATTGCTGTAACTCCCCACCTTGAGTTGTAGAAAATAAAGGCAGGATATAAATCCAATAAATACCAAAATAAAGAAATAAACTCAGAGATGGGCACACCAAATAAAAATACTAAATACTGTGATCACAGTCTACATATAGACCTCAGATGAATGTTTCAGACAGGAACGAACATTTCTGGCTTGTTTTGTTTTGGTGTGGAATTGGAGATTTTAAGAAATAAAATGGCTTCCTTAAGCCTTGCAGCTGAACCCTTTAGCTCTTAAACATTTTTAGAACATTATTCTGTCTTTCTGATGCATGTTTCATTCAGTCCATTTCTGGAATGAAACCGATAAAGCAAATAGTAACATTACTCACCATAGCAACAAAGTTCAGCGAAAGCTTCAGGAATCTTGGATACTCAAGAAAGTCTACTGCATAATTATGCAGCTGTGGAAATACTGTAGTACTTGCATTTCGGAAGATCCCTGTTGTAACATTTAATTATAAGATTTAATTGTTCCTAATTGAAGCAAGAGAGCTCACACTTATTATGCCAAGTGACAACACTCTGTAATTAGGTTCATACAACATGCTAAGATAAAAAACAAATCACTTTATGTCTTAGTATAATATATGATCCTAAGTTTTATGTTTTGTACATCGTAGTTTATGGTTCAGCACAGTAGTAGACAATATGTCCTTTTCTTTTCTTTTTTTTTGGTTTCCAGAGCCTTTAAGATTACTTTGCTGAAATTTAGCTGCAAATTGCCAATTTTAGGTTATAAATTTTCACTGTTACTGTGTAATTAAGCTTCTGCAAATCCTATCAACCCCCCCACACCAACAAACAAAAAAGGCCCCTCCAATGACAGCAACAAGCTGTGGTGCCTACATTAGAAGCACCATGCTTCTAAATATCAGTTGCTAAGAAAGAGGAGTGTGATACTGTAACTGTACTATTTTACTTGTAGGATTCTGGTTGCCCACTGTGAAAAGATACTGCTGGATTAAGTAGGCCTTTGAATTGATCTCTTCCAATGTTCTATAAAAGCCACATTAAACAACATACCTGTAAGTGATTCTGTAATAACAGCTATAATTTCTCTAGGTGCTGGGTGCAACATATCCTCATCTCTGAAAGTTACATCTTTTATCTCTGGGTTCTCCAGTGTGAAGTTCAAAGAACCATTAATCTGAGATCAGGAAAAATACATTGATTAATTCTATGTTATCTTTTAAGCAAAATAGCCAGTAATAATATTAGGACACAATGTTTTTGTTACTGCATTTTACTGTGAAGTCAAAGCAATATTAGTAAAACATTATGTCAACATCTGAACCTGAGTTGAGTAAGTTTTAGGTTGAAATTCATTCTAAGCACTATTAGTCTGTTTTGGACAATTTAAGGAGTTGCCCTGCAGCAATCACAGAATCTTCTTTATTTATTATAAAGATCATAGGTTTCCCAAAGCTATAAATGTTATTAGATCAGATTCTCACACTAGCCAGAACATCTAGGGGATCTGTTCTTCTTGGCCATATATCATTGTTACATTGTATTTTTGATGCTTTTTCCATAGACAAATTTATATGAACTGGGGTTAGCATTTTCCATCTATAAGATGTCCCCATGTATGAGACGACCCCCACTTTTCCAACCCAAAATTAAGAAATCAATATTTAAAAGATAAAGCAGAACACATTTTTATTTAGTAATTAGGTAACATTTATC